GTTAAAAGCCTCCCGTTGTCGGATACGACATGAAACTACTCCAGTTAGCTCAGTCATGTTGTAACTAAGACATCCGCTGGAGAAAATATTTTTTTCACGGGCCACTTTGTGAGTTTAGTGAGTTATTACAGACACGGCTAATGGCTAACAGCTAACGGTTAGCCCAGCTAATCTACGATAACCATGTTATTAATTACACACAGAGAAAATACTGTTTGTTCAGTCATTGTGTTTATAGACTTTACAAACATCAGATTAGTTTAAACGGTGATATAGTGACGTGAAAAATGTGATATATACATATATATATATATATATATATATAGCTAAACGCAGCAAGGTAAACAACAAGGGGATTCCCATTTACACAGTGGTAAGAGTGCTGGACCGGAAGTGTCGCACAAAAAAACGGAAGCTGGCTGCGTTCTGTTTTGCCTCCGTGTTTCCGTGAAAAATAAGGTGGATTGGCTGTGCTACAAATGCAGATGTGCGTGCGTACACATCACTTAAGTAAAAGCCTGATTGAATGGTGGAGGGTTGTTCTCCCAGCAATAGCAACAACTGTATCACAACCCAAAAAAGGAAGACGAAAAAATGTTAATAGTTAAGCCTTCTGCTAACTGGAGACAAGGCTCACGATTGTAGCGTCAAGATCACGCTAATGTAGCTATCGTTAGCTAGAACCTCGAATTAAAGTGTGTCCTCCAACTCACTTCCTGCCACTACAGACCACTTTGCTGGGGGGGGAGAGTGGGCAGCAGTGCTGGGGGACCGTATGGCCTGACTCCGTGACTGTGTTGCTGCCATTACCCAAGTTAAATCCAGCTGTGACAGCTCAGTTTGATTTGCAATAGGTGCCGACCAAATCTCCGTCCCCCAGAGCTGCTGCCCGCTCTCCCCTGGTGAGGCAGTCCACAGCGGCGGGGAGTGAGGCTGAGGGATTGTGCAGTGTGGTAGATTAACAGAGAGAGCTCTACAAAGAAAAAGGTTTAATGAATCCATGTACGGCAAACACCGGGTCATGGTCATCTAGTGGGAAGGGCTTAGGATAGAGAGGGGAGATCTTCAGGAAGAGGGTGTATTTTATAATTCTGGTTTTGTTTGTTTTTCCTTTCCAGAAAACTGCCTACTCCAGCTTTAAAAAGCACTCTCATATCGGTGTGTTGAGAATATAGCTGTTTTCAGGAAAAGGTTAGCCTAACTTAGCATAATTTAGCATAAGAGATAAACAGATTGTTGATGAACAGCAGTGTATTCATCCGCCCAGCACTTCTGTGCTGCGTCTCTGGCTGCAGTGTGGTTTTCTAGATACATTCAGTGAGCACAGGGTTTGAATTTGGTCTCTATACAGGCTCGATGATAGCAAACATGTCAGCCTCACTTTGACGACAAGAAGCTGTGCACCGACACTGCACCTGGCTGTTGTTTGCCAAAAAATAGTTCCATTCCACAGCATCCTGTAAAACGACAAATTGTGTTTAACTTTGTCCAAACGGAGTTACAAAACTATTTAATGCACCACAGACATAAGACAGGCATTGATCTACCATCTCTCTCACTCACTTTAACAGTTAATAAACCTGTTTTTTTTTTTAATGTTAACTTTTTTAACTTTAATTGTGTGTAGCTTTCAGATTAATTTCAAATGTTTAAACTTCATTTAAGGTCATGAAATGTAATGAAATTCAGCCTACACACATTTTCTGATACACTGTGTTGTGCAGAAATGAAAGGAAGGCTTTAGTGTGCAACTTCCACGCTTCATTTTATCTTTTAATCATGACATTGTAATTGAATCCGTCATGCATCAGTACGTACAAAATTGGAAGTTGAGGGAATAGTGATTATCTTCTGTTATAGGATGCGAAATAGTCTGCATGTAAATCGAATGGAAATGTCTGGCATGCAAATTCAAACACCTTGAAACTAAGTTTAGCATCCAAACACTGCTTTTAGTGTCAATCTGAATAATTTGTCTCATTCTGGTAGATTACAGGTTTGAGAGAGATCATGGCAGTGTGAATTAAGTAGGGAGATGCAGGCGTATAACCCTGAATGGATTACAGGCTCACTGTCATTACAACTCCAAGGGGAATTTTGATGGAAATGATGCTTTCACATGCCCTTTCTTGATTTACTTGGCATTCATTACATTTTTGTGTACATCTTAGGGTCTCGCAGCCATGAGGACGCTGCCATGTCACTTTGAGCTGGGAATATCTGCACCTATGGCATCGTGTTTAGCGTGAGCTCACCAGCAACGATGCCTGTTCACCCTGGGGAAGAATGGTTCACTCCACTACTGCTCCCCTCCCAGAGGCAGGGGACATTAACGCCAGTCTCTGCTGCTTCGTTACGGGGCTGCTGAACCTTACAGAGAGGCCGTCGATGGAGAATATCTCCATGGGCTCCCGGTTGCCCTCGGAGCCAGTCACGCCGACAACGGAGGCCCCGGAGAGCCTGCAAGGCGTTGGCCTACCTCTGCAGGTCTTCTTCTGCTTCATCATGGTCGCCATCCTGCTTTTGGCTCTGCTGGGAAACGTGGTGGTGTGCCTGATGGTGTACCAGAGATCTGCCATGCGCTCGGCCATCAACATCCTCTTGGCGAGCCTGGCGTTTGCAGACATGATGCTGGCCATCCTGAACATGCCCTTCGCTCTGGTTACCGTGGTGACTACCCAGTGGATTTTCGGAGACGTTTTCTGTCGAGTTTCAGCCATGCTCTTTTGGTTCTTTGTGATGGAGGGCGTGGCTGTACTGCTTATAATAAGCATAGACCGCTTTCTTATTATTGTCCAGAAGCAAGATAAGCTGAGCCCACAGAGAGCTAAAGTGCTCATAGTGGTCACATGGGGACTCTCTTTCATTTTCTCTTTCCCCCTGGCTGTCGGTTCCCCTCCCCTTCAGATCCCTCCCAGGGCCCCTCAGTGTGTATTTGGCTACAGCGCTGAGCCTGGTTACCACGCCTATGTGTTGATACTAATGCTAGTCTTCTTCTTCCTACCTTTCATGGTCATGCTGTACACATTTATGGGGATCCTCAACACCATCCGGCACAACGCCATCCGCATCCACAGCCACCCAGACAGCATCTGTCTGAGCCAGGCCAGCAAACTGGGCCTGCTGAGCCTCCAGAGGCCCTTCCAAATGAACATAGACATGAGCTTCAAGACCCGTGCCTTCACCACCATCCTCATCCTCTTCTCTGTGTTTACAGTGTGCTGGGCGCCCTTCACTGCCTACAGTCTGGTAGCTACCTTCAGCGATGGCTTCTACCACAAAGACAGCTTTTTTCAAATTAGCACATGGGTCCTGTGGTTGTGCTACCTCAAGTCAGCCCTAAACCCTCTCATTTACTACTGGCGGATCAAGAAGTTCCGCGACGCCTGCCTTGATCTGATGCCCAAGTACTTCAAGTTTCTTCCTCAGCTGCCAGGCAACACGAAGAGGCGCATACAGCCGAGCGCAGTGTATGTGTGCGGAGAGCATCGCACGGTGGTCTAAAGGAAAAGTCCACACTTCGACACTGTTAAAAACACATCTTTACATCATGTACCTTGCAGTTCTGGGCCTGTTTTGTTGTTTGGTGGTTTACTTCTCTTGGCAGAATGAAAACAGCACTGCATTAAAAAAAAAGGCAAGGGGCATGCACGTTTTAAGGCTCATCAAACACCAAAACACCTGCGCACCAAGATAATTAATATCATTAGATATGATTTGTCCGAAATAGGGCTGTGTATTGTTTGATAGTGTCGTCACGACACTGGAATTTCAAACTTAGTTGCAATACCTCGAAAAATATTGATATTTGATTTGATTTTTTATTAAAAGATAAACATAACATGGCTATAACATGACGACAAATTTTCTCAGTAGCAGTAAAACAGTAAACACGAACAATAAGAGATAGCAAGAAAGGGCAGCTGTTACAAAAACTGCAGAAAATAAGTATTGACACTGCTTCAAAATATTTAGTATTGTAAGTATCGATAAGTAGATATTTTTGACAACACTGTTTTTTGAAAGGTTCCAATACATTACCCAAGTTTCAGTGCCAAAACAGGATGTTCTTGAGACCTTACTTGGGCAATATGAACATTATTTTCGACATAACTCTGTATTTGACAAAATAAGTCAAACCTTTCAAATGATAAATGTAAAATACAAACAGCTAAACAAGAACTTTGAAATACAGCAGTGGCAAAATGTTAATGTGAATCCAGTATTTGCTGTCTGTGATAAAATATTCAAAATTCAAGTTTGACTTACTAGCTGTTATGGGAGCCTTTTGATATCAACTACATGAATCTGATTAGATATTCGATGTCAGCTTTTGGTACTAAAGTCACAATGAAGTACCCAATGCAATGCTGCAGGGATGACGTCTTTTTGTAGGCCGACCGGACATTACACATTGCCCTGGTTCCCCCGGCAAAAAGTACCAATGGGATATTTCCATTTGATTTTGGATGATTCAAGAAAAATGTTTGAGGTTAAAAGCTAGCGTTAGCCTACAAATTAAGTATGCGATCGTTGCTTAACTTCGTCGTCACCACAACAAGGCTCACCGCGTTCGCAGTGATGACATCCTGTAGTCGCATTTAGCCACTTGTTAGCAACCGCTTTTCTTAAGACACGTAAAAGCTTCAAAATTCACGGTGGTGGTGTATTTACGGACGTATAATATGCCATAAAACAAAACAGGAAAATTTCAGGCAACTAACCAAAAACCCATTGTGTTTTAAAGCTCTTCCTTGCAAGTCTGCACTAACAGGCGTTGAGTATAAATACCCGGCCCTACTGGGGAAAGTTCATCCATCATCATTTTCCCTTCTATCTTGATGACTGGAGTTAAACCATTCTCATTACAGAATAATCTACCAGCGTGCGCGACATATTTGATCGGCCAGTGCAGTACATTGCCCGATGGCACTGCAAGAGTTGAGTCAGGGTCTACTTTTATGCCGGGTGACCTTGCACTTCCTTGCTGAAGCCCTGCACATCAAAGACCCTGCAGTGTTTTAATGCAGTGCTTATGTTGTTCTGACTTCCTGTTAAGCTCTGAAGTTCAACAACAATCAGAGTGTGTATGAAGATTCTCAATGGGTCATGGGATGTCAGACAGGTGAAGGCAACTGGACTCAGCGTGTGGAAGATGTTTTTGCATCCATTCAAAGAGGCTGCATCACTGGTGAAACGTCAGTTTTAAATTTCTGTCGTGTTTAGCTGAATAGGTATTTATTTCCCATTTTAAAAGGGTAAAAACTTGGTGGCTGTGCCGAAAGTAGCTGCAGTCTCTGCTTAATTTAATTTAAGTTACAGTTGGCAGCAGGTCATGTAGAATTGCTCCTCATACAGCAGATGATAGTTGATAGTTTTGAGACTTGCATCTGCACTGGAAGTCCAGTTGCCTTTGAGTCTGTGGAGATTGTTTCATTCAGCTCATCATATATCATCATGTACCAACTGAAAGGCAGCTGCGCTGGCGGTTTTGTCTCAGTCTCAAACAGCAGACCAAACAACAGGTACATTTTTCTCTGATTTAGTTATTGTAGATAAACAAGCATACAGAAAAAAATGGTTTTATAGAAGAGGGAGAGACTCATCTCCACCAACAGCAGCTTCAGTAGGCCTTGGTAGCAATACCTTTTATTCTTTTAAATACAAATGTTCTTTTTTGTTAAATATGTGAACACAAGCAACCGTACAACATTTTTGCCTAAATACAGTGTAAAAAAAAAATGCAGCCCAAACGCCAGAGTAAATGTTGGCAGTATATGTTTCTGCAAACCATGGATATGTTACATTGTACATTTTATATGTTAAAGTTGTGCATTTGAAATGTAGTGGATATGCTTAACTTCATGGTTAATTACATTTAAATTTTATTTTTAATTTTATGTTGTGACAATGCTGTGATTCATGTGCAGCAGAGTCCTGCACGGGTCCATTTTTGAAAACTCGCACCTGCCCATACCTGTAAAGCTCAGTACCAGAACCGATGCTCATCATTATGTTTAAGTCAAAGCTGCACCCACCCACACCCATTAATAAAAGTCTTGCAACCAAACCTGCACCCGTGATTAAACACGTTATACGTTAACAAGTTGGGTTCTCCATTGAATTGAATTACAAATCAGAGAAGATGTCTCTTTCCCTGGCTGCGCTCGATGCCAGGATGGCGAAAACATTCTGTGCAATGACTGCCAGGTTAGGAAACATTATAGCACGCTCCCTCCACCACCATAAAACCTCAAGAGTGTCTTGGGTGTCTTGAACTGGGTGTAAGCTGCCACCTCATCCTCGGGCTGCATTGTTTTATAGCTGGAGTCCTCCATGTCGGTGGCGAATGTGACCACGGTGTCAAAGGATCAACTTGAGTCATTGACTTTCAAAATAAAAGGAATTGCAGCTTGATAGTGGTAACATATACTGCACATCTTTTTCATTTGTTTTATTCTGAAATAATATATTTTTGTTCTCGCCCGCTGCCCACCCAAGTGTAGTTTATTTTTACCCCTGCCCGTATCCATGAATTTATGTATATACATATTTTGCAACAAGAGCAGCTAAAAATGTCCTGACGTGTCATTAAAAAATACCTGGTTTTATTGCAACAAGCAGGGCTAGAAATGTCCCAACATGTTGTTAAACATACCCGGTTTTGTCACAACATAAATGGTTGGAAATGTCCCAACATGCCATTAAAAAATACCTGGTAGTGTCGCAACAAGCATGGGTGGAAATGTCCAGACACATTGTCCAAAATATCCACTTGTGATGTTAGTTGTTCTCAAACAGTGGTCTGCAGATGTTCGCCTATCTGTCAGGCTATCCACCATCCCCTTGACCTCCTGATGAGTAATTCAGTTCATATACATATACATGTAACCTGAACTTCATTGTGTTGGAATTGTCACTTAAGAAATGTTGATATGATATGTATGAAATGTACAAATGTAACATATTGGTGTTTGTACAGTGCCAACATTTTATTCTGGGGACTGGGCTGAAAAATTGGCTAAATTTTTGTTGAAGTCAGAAACTATCTGTTCAAAGTCAACAAGGATACCAAACTGTCAAAATATTTGGTGCCAGTTTTTGATACTTGATGGTTTTTAATACTTGGTTCTGCTGACATATTGCTTTTGGTACAAAAGATATTTAAATTCAATACCAAGCTCTACTCTGCAGAGCAGACTCAGCAAGAATTACCAGCTGAGAATTCAACCTTGGATAACTTGCTGTGCTGCTGTAATCCTATCACTGCAGCTACGGCTCTTTGTCCACCTACTCAACCAAAAGTACAAACTTCTTCTGTGAGGGGGAGGCAATGTCATTCTGGGAAAAAAAAAAAAAGAAGCCTTTTAAGTGAAGTAGTTGACTGAAGGAAACTATAAATTACAACACTTTTATAACTCCTGGAATGCACTGAATGGCACATACTGTGTGATAGTATAAACGGGTGAATTTTTCCTTTAATATTGTACGAAGAATACAGGCGCTGCTGGGTTTCACTTGACCATACGTCTTTTCTCGCCACTGGAATCACGAGTCACGGGGAAAGGATGGCGTGTTTTAGCTGCGTAGAATTTGTTTTATGAGGCATGTAAATTAATAGCTTCAGTGGAATTTGAATATGGTCAGAAAGTGGCCAGGACACATTTGGACGTGTGTATTTCTATTTAAATGTTTTGGATGTGCCTATTGATTAGTCCATTTGCCAGTCAGAATGCTGCTATATCTGGTGAAAATGTGCAATTTCAGTGTACTGTACTGTTGAATGTAATAAAGGAATAGACATTTCTTACCTTGGTAAACTGTCTAAAGTGGGTTCTTTGTGTATCTGTCGTGGATCAATGAGTCATGCTTTGTTGAGATAATGGGGTGAGGGTTGGATGACATGATATATACCTGGAGACAAGAAGCCCTGCTTGGTTTGATGCCGATCCACCAGCTTGTGTCAGACAATGCAAACTCTTATTTCATTGTTTAATAATGACCCTATGTTCTGTTGTTTACCTTCCACATTCTCAGGTAAATGTGTACCTTCAGCCCCAGCTATAGGAATTTGAAAATGTCATCATTTTAACAAAGCTAAACAACAATTAAACTGTTAGTCTACAGCTCCCATTGTTATTTTACAGACTGTAATGCCTCACTGTAATTGCTTGTTTATCCCTTTATACATGATATCCACCTGAACCGTCTTGTAGGCTAATGCCGTCTTTGATTCTTTTAAGCTGTATCTCTGCTGTCTAAAAAACAAACTGACTTAAAGTCATGGGCTTATGGGAAATGGTGTTCATTTAAGGCTGCCAAAAGACTTATATTAGATGTGGAGTGAGACACATTATAGGTCATGTTATAGAGCAAAATTCAATGTGGTTTAGAATTTTTTTTTCTTTACTCGTGGAACAGAACCTGAAATTTCTGCTGTCTTATTTCAACTCTCTATAGCTCATGGTTTTAAGTGCATAGCGCAAGTGCTTTTAGGCAATGTCAAACTCCAAACAGTGCAAAGTAAGGTGCAAGGGTGTATTTTGGGCCCACCATAAATTCAGCCAATTAGAGTGTCATTGTCTATTTCCTTTAAAAGCCATGTGTGAATGCACCTGGTGCATTGCTACTTACAAGGCGGATTCTTCAAGTTGGAGAAGCGAGCAGTTTTCGACTGAGAGTAAAGCAGTAAGAGCAGCAATGTAACTACAGCAAACATTGTGTAGACAACAAAACTAAATACTGTAGTTATAAACTTGAATGAGGAAACAGAACTAACCTTTTAGCTTCTGAAAAAAGGGTTTATGTGTTTTTTTGTGTATAAATCTGCACAACGTCTCTTAATGGGGAGTTAGACAGCAGCTCATCTCTGCTCTCTGCTACGTTCACATTTTAGAGAATGTGATTAATGTATTTCTCATGAGTGATGTTACCCATCTGCACATCCCAGTGTGTGTAACAAGCAGAGTGTACGCATGATGGGAACCCACCTATTGCTATCTGAATGATTTGCCCTTAAATAGCTGGAAATACTGCGCTATTGACTTTAGAACAGGTTTTTGTTGGTCAATGATGTAATCATTTTGTGCTGTCTCAAGATACCCAGCTGGCCAACAACACCATTAGATATTGATATTTGGTTGACTTTTGGTTGTGATGTCAGGTGACCAAAATTCAGTGTCAGAACAATGTCATGTCAATGTGCCTTAGAATACTGTTTACAATGATGTTGATAATTTGTTGGTTTAAGTTATGTTAAGTAAAACACAAAAAAAACATGTCTTACAAATGTCAAATAAGCCAATGTCATGTTGACGTAGAAAAATGACATTTTGTTTATATGTTGAACAAAACCCAACATCTGCAAAACGTCATAATGTTATCTAAAGTTGATAGGCAATTCGAATATTGTCAACCCAATTTTCATTCCGACCAAAATATGTCTGTACAGCGTAAGAGTCCAATGTTTTTCTGACGTCATATTGCCGTTCACTGTCAACTGGGTAGCAATGCAAACGCCAACAATGCATCTGACCACACCTCATGTTAAGTCCTACATGACCATGAGCATATAGATGGGCGCAACATTTGCCACTTTCACAATGTGGGCACTTTCCAAACAGACACTCCCACATCTATCAACAGTTTTGACATGTAATTGTAGAAAAATCACAAGTGTTACTAAATATTACCAGTAGCTCAGTTCTGTTAAAGTGTCCTGGTAAGCCACGACTGTGTGCCAGCATAAACATTATCAGCACCCTGAAACTGAAGCAGCTAAATGGAATCCAGCCATCATTCATTGGTTATTTACACCTGTGCCTCTCTTACCGTCACGTCAAAGTTACATATATATCAATTTCCAGAAAATGTAATATTATGATGCATATAAAAAGACATAAACCATTACTTAATACTTTTTACCACCAGCTCATGGTGTTATAGAGACATTGTGTACCTATCTTTAAAGCTTGCTAGAATGAAGTGTCGTCTGTTCAGGTGAATAGAACAGCTGAAAAAGCTTCTCAAGATCAACACAAAGGATGTCTACATGCAGCTAGTATAATAACCCATAGAACTATGCAACAAGCAAATGTTATCTTGTATGAGTGTACGACCTCAGTGTATCTTCCATACAGCACTGGCTGTGTTTATCTGAGGGGTAGTATCTCATTATCCTGGATACATAATATGTGGGCAAGCTGATGTTTCTATAAGCTGGGATACTGAGGCATGTAAACAATTTATACTGTTCACGATCCATATTTGTGTTTCAACATGAGGCAATAATATGTGATTACAGTGGGACACAAGACTGTTGGAACCACACACCCTTAAATCTGTCCTAATGATGAGTTCCCAAGTAATCTTTAGAGACTGAAAGCAAGCGTATCCGATGTGATTCATCAACTCCAGATCAGATGTTAGAGGTATAATAGCAATGTGCATGTAAGTACATTATATGATATATAAGGTGTCACGTCTGGGAGCCCAGTGTGTTTATGTGATGCCTCAGTGCAAGCTCTGCGTTAATTATCTTCCTTCCAGTGCGTCACCTGTGTCTATTCTTTCCACTCGGGGACTCCACTTCCTGTCATAGTCTCTGCTGAGTGCATTCACGGGGGCGACATAAGCCCAGTGTGCATTCATGCATCGCTCCACCCTCCATACGATGACCCCCCCCCCCCCCCCCCCCCCCCCCCCCCCCCCCCCCCCCCCCCCCAAACCTGCTTTGATTTTGAACGGGCCTGCCAGTCGTACGCTTCACAGTGGAGTCGCCGGCGTGTTGTGCAATGCAGCTGATAATAGAAATGCCATGGAGCTGTATCAGCTGCCGTGCCTGACAACCAGCCTCCGGTCTGTTTACAGTCTCACTGTTCTGTTTGCTTGGATTTCTGTTTGCAGTGTCTTGCACCACAGAGTTTAGAATTGAATCAAATCAAAGTAGATGTGTATTTTCAGACAGGCAGAGTGAGCAACTGTCCACAGGCCCCAGGACACCAGATGCACCCATAAGCCCCAAGTTCACTGTGTGGAGATTAGGTTGTGGGAATTTATTTCTGGTTTGTGGATATTTTGTCTACATCAGTGATACTAAACTTAAATGGCATGCTAGGTAGCCCGGTACAAGCATTTTCTTATACACAATGAAAATAAAATGATTCACACTGGGATTTTATTTTTGTACTTTAAGTGAAAAAAAAATGTGCTGGAGTGCATAAAAAGCATCAAGTAGAGCTTGTTAAGCCCTGCAAATTCAAGTTGAAATACTTTCTAGCACATCCACAATGCTAATTATGGTGTAAAAATACATTTTAAATTAAAAAAATATATGAAGGGTATATGAGGATCAAATTAAAAAAAAAAAAATAATAATCAGAATGAATAATAAACAAAATGGCATGAGAATCCATACACATAAATAAATTTGTAAAATAAATATATGTAATGCACACAATTTTTAAATTTTTAAAATGTATATTTGCCCAGTATGTAGGTGGTTTGTGTCATTTTTTCATATATGGAATAGTCAAAATTTCCAAATGTTACAGCAGTTTCTGAAATTCTGATTGTGTAGAATCAGTTCCTACCAATAAAAATTGTAAGATTTAAAGGGTAAATTCAGTGTAATTGTAAGAAAGAAAGAAAGAACGTTATTTACCCCTAATTACCCCTAATTTCATCCATAAGTTTGGCTTGATTTCTCCATGTTGTGATGAGATTTCCGCTTCAGTATAGGTAGTTTGAAGTCTGCATTCTGTGCTCAAAGCATTGAAAACAACATTTGAAACAACAAAGGCTTTGTGTCTGAGCTCAGCACTCGGCATTGGTGGCTGTTGAGTACATTGAGTTTGACTCTGGAACACATGCATTCTTGTTAACCTTGTATGGCTACACAAAAGGCCACGTGAGTAACTACCACCCCCAGAGGCTCTTCGTAGAAATTAAACCGCAGTCTAATTTTAAAAATGAAAAGAGCATCTTCTTTAGCAAACACAACATTGCTCCTATTTGTTTGAAAGGTTCAGCAGTAAAATGTCATAACATCTATACACTGATTTCTAGAAATAAAGAAAAGAGAAACAACATATAAAATAATAGCATTAAAGGGATAGTTGGGATTTTCTGACGCAGCGTTGTATGGGTTACCTATTATACTCAATGCATTACCTATCGTAGATGTCAGCTGGCGTGCCCCCAGTTTGGAGAAGTGGCAGGCTGCAGTAGACCAGCAACTCCTGCGTTCGGTGATGTTAAATCACTGTTTTTGTTTTTGAAGTCTGGCTTTGAGGAGAGCGATGTAACAGCTACAGGTAAAGCAGTGAAAATATTTTGAATATGGCGTACACTTAAACTGATATTGATTTTTTTATGTGGGATCTTTATGAGGTATCTAAAGTATGTGTTGTTGCTGGCCCTGTCCAAGCAGTTCATTGCTTAGCTTCTGTGTCAGTACACCTGCCTGCTTCTCCAAACTGGTGGCGTGTTGACTGACATCTACTGTGTGTAATACACTGACTATGGATAAGTGCTCCATACAACCAGGGGTGTAAATATAGATATGCAGTGTGGTTGCACCAGGGCCTATCAAGTGGGGCGCCTGTAAACAGACTTGCTGTAGGGCCCGCTTTCTCTAGAGCAGAGAATGGGCCCTTGCAAGTGATTCAACTTGCCACCTCAGAAATACGCCTGTGTAAAAAAAAACAACCTTATGTTAAACTACAAATGCTGTCATCTACTATATATACCCTTGAGACGGCAAACCCATCAGTCAATGTTTATTTTTCTGTCTGTTGTGAAATAGTCAATAGCAGTCTAT